AAAATTCAGGGTTATGTTATTCTATTAGTGCATCATCTAATTCTATATTTTTGTTCATCTTTTAGCAACATGCTGTAAGAGCTGTAAATTAATACAAATGGTATTTCACTTCTTGAATTTAGTTACTCATAATTCACATCTTGATTGAATCGAAGGAATATTGTATCAAATATGGATTAAATTAGCCTGTACAATACGTTATCATGGGATCATCTACCCAACAGTGTTAATACTGAAAAAGAATTTCTGAACGTTTACATTCAGTATATTAAGAGAAGCTTCACAGCAGTAGTCACTAAAGGAAACCAAAACAGTTATTAGAATTCATGCGGTGCATTGCAAATAATTCTGTTAAAGAGGTTCATGCCCCCTCACACTGAGTGTAATGTTGTAACTTTTAGAGATTTATGCTGGATGTCTGCAGCATGACATGCACCCCAACCTGCAAGAATTGTTTTAGCTCTGGAAAACCAGCAAATTACAACATTACTTGTCCTTACAGTTTTTCAAAACTTCCTAAACTGTGGAGAAGTTAAACCAATGTCTGAGTTACATGAGTAATGAGTGATTGGCAGCAACACATGATTTCTGTCTATAGTCGGTACCTAGAAAAATGAATAGATAAATCACTATTACAGTCTGCTAATACAGCTCGAAATTCAGTGTCTTCTGTGCTAAGTCAGTCTAAATTGTCTCTGATGTGTGGGACGTAATTAACTCTCGGCTCTTGTTCATCTGCTTTCTTTAGTTGTTCTTCACCTTTAATAAAGACCTCACAAATTTGTTATTAATAGTTCAGTCAGTTTTAAGTGGGTATCCTGGGTAATTTCACAGTTTATCTTTGGACTCAAAGGCCTAGTGATGATTCTGTGTGATGTAATTCTCTCTGTTGGAGATAGGTTCCATGGCTTGGTTCTTTGAATTTTTTCTGGAGCATTCTTCAATCCTGCTTCTCAAATAACATTGGTTAGAACAATCACATTTAGTTTTAGCTCATCTTTTTAGGTCTCTAACTTCTGTATTTCCTTTTACTTTGCTTTTATCAATTTGAGCAGCATTTTATCATGTACTGCAGAACAATTCTCTCCTATTGTAAAGTAAAACACACTGAATTTCAGGAAGGTCACTGTAGCTTCAATAAAAGCAAATAGCAGCTTTCATTATGAAGAAACAGTTGGCTGTTCAAAATCTCAGCATATGGAAATCTTTCAGAGGATGAGATTACTGATTTTGATAAGGGTTTTAGTTGCATAATTGGATTAAATGTAGTTCTGCATCTTTTACTTTTCTATTATCTAGCCACACATGGCTTAGGATTTGAACAGGATTCACAAATTCATAGGGCAGATTCCTGCCTCTCTGAATGTAAAAAATGAAACTGGAGAACAGTCACATCCTTTTAAAATTTAAGCAGTCTCACCCAGCCTCTGAAACTATATGATCAGCTAGGATTTATAAGCAGCCAATTCTGAATTTTTGCTGATATTTATGTATTTTTCTGGGATATGCGTGAAAACTTTAAACATCTTATTTAAACAAAATAGGTGTAACAGTTTAACTTACATAGATGTATTTAAGAAGTTAACACTCGTAAAGTAGCTCTCAACTTTAGCAATTTACATAAAGTCACAGTAAAACTCACTCAGGTTGTTTTAAACTAGGGTTTTGCTCATAAGAGTATACTGGGGGATCCAGAATGCACACCTGGCAAAGCAGCAACAGTTCTGGCTTAAGCTTGTCACCTATAACAGGGACACACCTCTGCTGCTTAGCACAGAGACTAGGACAGATGCAGTTTAAACTTGAAACACTGTCTGTTGTTAGGCAATTTCCTGTATTATATCTTTAGATTTTATCTCTCTTTCCACAAAGGTGGAAACTTCCAGCTAGAAACAGTTCATTTATTTTTCCCTTTTTTTCTCTGGCAAAAACTGCCCCTGTCAAATAAGTTATTTTTGAGCTAGGTATTCCACCAAATAAGTCTATCTTAAGGCTTCCTCAACAATCTCAAAAAACCTATCTGTAAAATACAGAAGCAACAAAAGAATGTTTACAGAGCTGTTTGAGCAGGGGGGGAGAGGGAAGGTAGCACAGCTGTGCTTAGCAGCTCTGCTGGAGAATCGCTCCTCCCACATACCTTGGAATTTTCTTATCACAGGCAGTTGTCAGCAGTTACTTTAAAAACTCTATTTCTCCATTACATTTATGTATGTATTTTAAAACAATTTTGGTTATTTTAATGAACAACTTCAGAAAACAGTTAGTGAGACTATGTTATGAAATTGTAAGACAATTTCTCTCGCCAGTCAGAAGGTTACAAAGTTGCAATTTTTACAAAGTAGGAGAGTTTCACTCCTGCTTTTGAATTTTTCCTGGCAAAGAACTTTGTTTCTTCACATACGCACACACACAGTAACAATAATATTGTGAGCTCACAAAAACACATTCCACAGACACTACAGTTAACACGAGAATTAACAGAAATATCAGAGGTAGTTTTTGCCCCCTCTTTTCTTCCCCCCACGGCAGAGATTGTCTTCTTCAGGCTTCCATGACACCAAACTTGATTTGTTGCATATTTTTTGTATTTTATCTTACACACATTGTGAGACTGAAACAGCCAATTAGTACATGAACAAAAAATAGGTAACTCAGGCTACAAAAAAGCAAGAAAAGGAGGTAGGTGCTGACTTTTAAGTTCAATAGCTTATACAGGGATGGGCCTTGCTGTCCTGTTTTCTGCCCAACCCCCACTGTTCTAATTTATCTCTGTCCCTCTCCATTCACTTATATATCTTGACTTGAATTTCTTTTCTTAGTTGTTTTCTTGGTGGAGTTATCTGGTGGAAAAACTGTTTCTTCTGCAGCAGTGGCAAATGGAGAGGGGGGCGGTCCTTACTTCTTTTCTGTCTCCGGGAGTGAATTATTAAATTTTTCTGCATTTTTTTGCTTGGAGGTGTAGTTCAAGGACAATTTGTTACATCGGCAACCTGCTTATCTTTCTGGGCAACTGCGTTTAAGAGTTTTAGTTCTTATATGAATTATTGCATAGATTGTTGCCTCCCTTACGCTTCTAAATCTTTCAAAGTCTCACAGAGCAAGTGTTAGGCAAACACATGAAATGCAACTTAACGTAGTAGCTTCAAAGCCTTATTTTCAGTACTGTAACAGCACATGTCGTAAATTAAATTCAGCAACCTTGACATTCTTTCGGTTAAGGAGGGATTTCCACGTAGATAGAACTACACTTTCCTCCTTCATTATATTCTGTCCCATTGTTAAAATATTGTCCCCGGTGGCACCCCCGTTAGCTTACCTAATGAGGGTTCGAAAAAGTTCAGGTTCGGACCTTTTCACGGGAACCATGCCCACTCTCAAGCTTCACCGGGCTCCGTTCCCCCTGTGCCTTGTCCCACAGGTCCTCTCTCTCTCTCTAGGAGAGAAAATCTCTGCTCTTTCCCCCTCTAGAAGGGAAGTCATGGCAGCCCCTCTCTCTCAGAGTGGAATTCCTCCAAACTCTTTCTCGGAGTTGGAGATAAATCTTTCTTCCATGCTGCAATCACATTGGCGTTTCCATATGTCGCTGATAAAGTCGGAACGGCCAAAATAACACAGATATCAGACATAGTCCAGGTGTAAGGTGATCAGGAAGCTGTTTATTGCTCTCAAGTGTTTCTTTTATACTCTTTGGACACTATCGTGCCACAACACAATTGGTCAAAAGTCTAAAGCATAAAACACTGTATATGCTTTAATTGGTAATACAGAAGACACTGCACACACTCTTATTGGTGACACTGAAGACACTGTGCATGCTGTAACATGCTATTGGTGACACTATACACTTTTTGATTGGTGACCTTTGGTCTCGGCTGCATTACGTTTGTTCCGTCTGGCATTACAGTAAATATTTCCTAAAAGTTGTTTAAATTCCTCGTCACTAATTGCCAGGCTGCTGACAGGTTCTCTGTCAACCTCGACAGGTCCAGGCCTCTGTAACTAGGACATGACCATACTTTATGTTCCCGTCTACTAAAAGAAAGACCACCTAATTCTTTTGGTTGTTGTACTTTCCATTTGGTAGTTATCCACCCAGCATTCACTCGGAATTAGAGCAAAACATCATTCCCTGTTTTCCATGGACGGGATGATCTGTTTGACATAGTTCAAATATACTCCAGTTAAGGTGTCATCAGGAGATGCTGCTGAACGTCTACTATAGACAACATCACATGAAGGGCCTTTGAAGCAGAGATTCCTTCCAACTTGCTCCCAAAGCGATATCATACTCCATCTTACAGAGATCTGAAAGCAGATGCTCTTGAAAATGCACAAGTGCAGCATTACTGTGCCAGAATAAGTAAAACACGTTCCTTCATACCCTGCTGCTTAATGTTGGTATAGTTTCTGATCTAGCTGCCTGTAGTTTTTTAAACTTTACTGCAGTTGAATGTAAATTGCTGTTTCTCACACCGAGTGTTGATAGGCCTAATCCTGTTTGTTTTGTTGGTGCACATGGCCCCAACAAAAGCCTTTGTGATCATGAATTTCCCTCCCGTGTTTCATTATTGGCCTTGCAGCCTGTTATGGTGGTCATTACAGTGCAACAGCCAGAGGCTGTGTAAATGGTAAAGAAATGCCTAATCTGTGGTGGCACACAGCCTTTGTTTATATTTTCAGTAATCCTTGATAACAAAGAGAAAAATATTGATGATTGTATTAATCCTTCTAAGCCAAGAACAAGGGATTTCCTACTGTCCTTGCCACCAACTCTGCACTGCTGCACACGTGGTTTAGCAAGTGTAATCCTCACCTCCTTACCCTTGTCTGGAATTGCTTCAAGGCTTTTGGTAAAATATCTTTGCTTCTGCTTTTGTTGCCTGCAGTGAGTGGCAGGGGTTTCTCTGACAAATGTTAGTTTCAATGCAGAATCGTGGAGTGTTTGGTTAGAAAACCCTTTTCTGTGTCCATCATTCAGCAACCCTGTTTTTCCCTTTCAGCTTCCTCCCAGCATGACTCGTCAGAAACAAGTGAGGATTCTGAGGTTGAGTTCTCCAATGAAGAAGGTCAGTTCAGTGGTTCATTGATTTCAGTCTGTTGGGCATTTTTATGTTCAAAAAATGCTTTCCAGTGCCTGGGTTACTTGTCACTGAATAAACAGACTTATGTGCCAGTGTTGACTGCAGCTTGGATTGTGCACTGCTTGGTAAACAGATCTAGTCCAGAAGTTTTATAAAGCTACAATATGCTGAAGGATATTGGACTTCCTGGGCTGGTTTTGAAATGATGCCAGGCAGCAGTTTGCATCTTTCACGTTAATTTCAAGTGTTGGTAATGAAAAATACTCACTGAAAACACAGGATGTTATAACTTTCATTCATTCTGAACAACACATTGTTTTGTAAGCACACTGTAGCTATATAAAATTTCTGGTGAACACTCGCTTCTGGGAAGAACTGTACCAGAACAGAAGGGCTGTGTCACAGGTGGCATAAGTGAAGCCTCAATTTATTTGCCTCATAGCGATAAATACGAGAGAAAAACCTTTACACTTGCCACTTGCCTTTCTCATCTGAATGGCACTAAAGCCACTGCCCAGTGTTGCTGTTGTTTTCAGTCTAGGATCTTGGTTGGGAGTCAGCTCTGTTTCTTGTGTTTGTGGATTACATGTCCTGTGGCTGCTTTAAAACACTTTTGAGAGTGACTTTGCAGTGCTTGTTTCTGGAATTCAATTAGGATTGAGACCACCCAATTAGCAATCTAGGAAATAGGCAGGGGCATTTAGGACATTTCTGGCACTATTATTACCTTTTTGTCATCCAGCAATAAAATAACTCTTACATTACCTCAACAGAAGAGGTAATAAGAGAAGAGTCATTAAGTTCTGTGTATCCGTAAAGGCCTTTACACAAAAGTAAAAATGGTCTGAAGGGGTTTTGTCTGACGGAATATAATACAACTGCATAGATACAAGGTGTGTCAATATGTCATGTTATTCTTGCATAGCAAACTCCTAGGTACCTGCTATTCTTTATGTGAAATTGATTGTCTTTGTCTGTTCGTTGTCCAATACTTGCATTAGAGCTTTGAAATTCAAAGCAGTTCCAGCATTGCACATGAGTTTTCTGGACATTGAACCAGTGTTCAATTTTTATGTTTCTTTAAGATGATGATGACTATCTGCCCCCTAACAAGCGACCGAAACGCACTAGGTCAACTATTGGAGCTGGCAATTCAGGGAGAAGAAAAGTGGAAAAGTGCAATGTTGGTAAGTGCAGAGTGAGATACACGCAGGTATCCCCCCAAAATGCCAAGGCATTGGAACGATCCCAAAAAAGGTTTATTTCCAAGGTAAGAACACAAAAACTGACAAAACAAAATCTGCCCCAGCTGAGGAAAATGCTGGGCCTGAGAAACTCCTGCCTCCTGATCTCTGCCAGGCTTGTTTTCTTCTCTGGCCTCCTCCCCCCAGGCTCACCACCAGCATGGCCTGTAACACCCATGAGGGTTTCTCTCTCCTCAGCCCAGAGAGAGAGACTGCAGCTTTTTCTCTGGAATGCAAAAGGTGAAGGGAAGGGAAAACATCCAGTTGTTTTTTAAAGTGTACTCTTGGGCAGGAGGGACTACCTTAGGGAAAACAAGTTCTAACTCCTCGTTACAAATTCTTCTGAAAGGGTACCACCCCTACAGTAAGATAAAAATATAACATCTTTTTTCCCTCTGCTTGGTTTTATAAAAAGATATTATGCTGCAGGAGCGAGACACACCAGTGCAAGCATTCATTTAAGAGCTCAGGGCTCTTTGTAGATGTATTGCAGGAGTATAATCATCATCATAGGCTACCTCTGTTGCTTTTAGTTCTTCAAAGTGAGCACGTGAATGGACACACAGAAAGCTGGGATCATTTTGGTGGTGTTCTTTCATGATCCCTTAAGTAGAGTTCTCCACAGAAATGCACCCACACGCCATGGTTACTCTGGTCAAAGATGCTTCCCCTGGGATTTTTTGGAAGTCCTTTACCTCTCCTTTATTCCTTTGTTTGTTTTGGTTTCTGGACACATAGCCCATTCATCTGTCTATTTTTATAGTAGACAGCCTAGTCAGGTAGATGTTTTTTACCTGATATGTATAAAGGAAGCCACCAGTGTTCAGATTGCAGTGAAGGAACAGATGTGGAAACACGGTTAGAAGATTAGAGATGTGAAATGTTTTTTGTGAGAATAAATTAACGTAATTGGTTGGTTTTTTTTTACTGAAATATTTGAAAAGGTGTCACCTTAATTGGAGTTGTACTTCTTCTCCAGCCACATTTCTCTTTTCATATTTCCACAAGGTTGCCTTTTGTGATTTTGGTTTTGCTTTAATCTCTCAAATCACACCATTCTGGGGCATGCTAGAATCTTTTATTATTTTTTTTAAACTTTTCTGATGCTCTCAAAGTGTTTTAAGCAGTCAGTTGATGTGACAGTTATTTTTGTGACCTGTGCTGGTTTAAAAGTAAACCGGCAGGAGAAATGAACCCAACTCAAGAGAGATTACAAGTCAGAGTTACAATTTACTAAAAAGATTACAATAAATAGAATGATAGAGCAAAAACTGGTTTTACCCCCCAAAGGCAGCTGTATAACCCAGCCCCCTGTGACAAGAAGAGAATGGTGTTCATTTGCTGTTACCACGTGGCCCCCCCAGGTGCAAAGTAAAAGGAAAGGAAGCCTGTTGGTCCAGATGATGGTCGCAGTTCTGCAGAAGTAATGACTGCCGTCTTGTGGAGAGTGGCAGTCAGAGTCCTGTAGAAGTTCTCGTTCTCCTCTGAATCTGAAGAGTGGAGTGTTTGGTTAGAAAACCCTTTTCTGTGTCCATCATTCAGCAGCCCTGATTTTCCCTTTCAGCTTCCTCCCAGCATGACTCATCAGAAACAAGTGAGGATCCTGAGGTTGAGGTCACTCTTGAAGGTCAGTTCAGTGGTTCATTGATTTCAGTCTGTTGGACATTTTTATATTCAAAAAATGCTTTCCAGTGCCTGGGTTACTTGTCACTGAATAAACAGACATGTACCAGTGTTGACTGCAGCTTGGATTGTGCACTGCTTGGTAAACAGATCTAGTCCAGAAGTTTTATAAAGCCACAATGTGCTGAAGGATATTGGACTTCCTGGGCTGGTTTTGAAATGATGCCAGGCAGCAGTTTGCATCTTTCACGTTCATTTCAAGTGTTGGTAATGAAGAATACTCCTTGAACACACAGGATGTTATAACTTTCATTCATTCTGAAGAACACATTGTTTTGTAAGCACACTGTAGTTATATAAAATTTCTGGTGAACACTCGCTTCTGGGAAGAACTGTACCAGAACAGAAGGGCTGTGTCACAGGTGGCATAAGTGAAACCTCAATTTATTTGCCTCATAGCGATAAATACGAGAGGAAAACCTTTGCACTTGCCACTTGCCTTTCTCATCTGAATGGCACTAAAGCCACTGCCCAGTGTTGCTGTTGTTTTCAGTCTAGGATCTTGGTTGGGAGTCAGCTCTGTTTCTTGTGTTTGTGGATTACATGTCCTGTGGCTGCTTTAAAACACTTTTGAGAGTGGCTTTGCAGTGCTTGCTTCTGGAATTCGATTAGGATTGAGACCACCCAATTAGCAATCTAGGAAATAGGCAGGGGCATTTAGGACAAAGTTGATACTTCTGGCATTACTAGTATTTTTTTGTCATCCAGCAATAAAATAACTCTTACAGAAGAGTTCTTATTATCTCAACAGAAGAGGTAGTAAGAGTCATTAAGTTCTGTGTATCCGTAAAAGTCTTTCCGCAAAAGTAAAAATGATCTGACGGAATATAATACAACTACATAGGTACAAGGTGTGTCAATATGTCATGTTATTCTTGCGAAGTAAACTATGCCCTTAGTGACCTGGGTGCCTGCTATTCTTTATGTGAAATTGATTGTCTGTTGAAATGGTTCATTTTCCATTAAGGTTGCAGGTGTTGGGAATTGGACAGTCTTCCTAGCTCAGGAACCTAAGGAGGATAGGGTTGGATTGAGAAGTGACTGGCTGAGTAGCAGCTCACGCAAAAATTCCTGCATTTGCAGTTTTCCTGTCTGTCCATCTGTGTGTGTTTTAGGTGGAGTTGACCTGTTACATGAGTTTTCATTTGTGTCCATTAGTTTTACAGTGTTTCGAAACTGGTTTTAGCACCTTTGAGCTCTTCAAGACAAAACTTAGGTACTGTTGTTGCGAGACTTTCTAGTGGAAGGGTACTACTTCCAGTTAGATAAAAAATGTAGTCAATATCTGCACAGTTTATTTCCTGATTTCCTTTTGCTGTTGCATGGTCATTTTATGATTGTGAGGTTTGCAGTCATGTTTCAAAACACAATGTTGTTTTCCTTAGGAAGTACAGAAGCTGCTGTGCTTTTTGCTGTCTTGTACCTTACAGAGGCTGCCTTGCACAGTTTATTCCTACAGAAGTAGGAAGAGGAGCTTTCTAAAGTTTCTCACATAAGTAATGTGTTGCACAGTTTGGTGCCCTGATAAGCCCAGTCCAATACTTGCATTAGAGCTTTGAAATTCAAAGCAGTTCCAGCATTGCACATGAGTTGTCTGGACATTGAACCAGTGTTCAATTTTTATGTTTCTTTAAGATGATGACGACTACCTACCCTGTAAGGAGAGACCGAAACGCACTAGGTCAACTAATGGAGCTGACAATTCTGGGAGAAGAAAAGCGGAAGAGTGCAATGTTGGTAAGATAAAAATCAAGATTATTTTTCTCTCTGCTTGGTTTTCTGAAGAGGTGTCAGGTAATGTCATGCTGCAGAAGCGAGACACAGCTGTGCAAGCATTCATTTAAGAGCCCAGGGCTCTTTTTAGATGTATTGCAGGAGTATAATCATCATCATCGGCTACCTCTGTTGCTTTTTGTTCTTCAAAGTGAGCACGTGAATGGACACACAGAAAGCTGGGATCTTTTTGGTGGTGGTCTTTCACGATCCCTTAAGTAGAGTTCTCCACAGACATGCATCCACACGCCATGGTTACTCTGGTCAAAGATGCTTCCCCGGGGATATTTTGGAAGTCCTTTACCTCTCCTTAATTCTTTGGTTTGTTTTGGTTTCTGGACACATAGCCCATTCATCTGTCTACTTTTATAGTAGACAACCTAGTCAGGTATATGTTTTTTACCTAATATGTATAAAGGAAGCCACCAGTGTTCGGATTACAGTGAAGGAACAGATGTGGAAACACCATTAGAAGATTAGAGATGTGAAATGTTGTTTTTGTGAGAATAAATTAATGTAATCGGTTGTGGTTTTTTTACTGAAATATTGAAAAGGTGTCATCTTAGTTGGAGTTGTACTTCTTCTCCAGCCACATTTCTCTTTTCATATTTCCGCAAGGTTGTCTTTTGTGATTTTGGTTTTGTTTTAATCTCTCAAATCACACCACTCTGGAGCATGCTATAAACAAATTGGGATGGAATTGTTGTTATTTTAAATCATGAATGGCATTTGTAAGGTACTCGTCACCCAACATGGCGTGCTTTGATGTGATATGAAAAGTACATCATCCTCCACTGGCTTTATTCTAAGCACTAAGGCTCTCCAGCCCAAGTTGTGTGCTTTTAAAAGCCAGGTTATGGTAGCAGCAGTGCTCCTTCTTGCAAATCCTGTTAGTTTTGCTTTAAAGGTAGCTATGATCATAGTTAAGGGTGCCATCATGGCTGGGCTTTGCGAACGAAGATTTGGGAAGGGCTCTACCCATGTTTGTTACAAGCGTGTTGGTGGCCAAAAAGGCCAATACGAAGTAGGCACGTCCGGTTGCAAAAGGCACAGCAGAAACACTCCTTAAGTGGTATATTCTGCAAGGCATGATTCTTTCTGCATTGTCTTTTCTCCTCAAGAGTTATCCTGCGTGTGTTCTCAAAGGAAGCAGCAGCATTAAAGACAGTGTGTCTCCAGGCCTCCCGATTAGAAGCCAGAGTAGATCAGTTATGTTGATCAATATGGCCAAGGCTGAGATGTTGTTTCAGGGAGTCCTTGTATCTTCACTTCAGGGCTCCTCTCTTACAGCAGCCGGTGGCCAGTTCACCATAAAGCAAGATCTTAGGGGGGCGGTGGTCCATCATCCTTGAGTTGTGCCCTGCCCAACGCAGCTGTGTTCTCATCAACATGGCCTCAATGCTTGTGACTGCTGCTTATTCTAGAACAGATGTATTGGTCACATAATCTGACCAGTGAATGTTTAGGATTGTACAAAGACAGCATTCATGGAAGGCATTCTAGGAGTTGCAGGTGGTGGCAGTAAATGGCCCATGATTCAAATCCATATAAAAGAGTAGACAGCACTATGGCTTTGTAAACACTGATCTTAGTACTTTTCTTCAAGTGTTTATTTCACCATACTCTTTTATGAAGCTTTCCGAAGGCACAGTATGCCTTTGCTAACCTATTGTCTATCTCTCCATCAGTCTTACCATCAGAGGAGATGAGGCTACCTAGGAAATTAAACTGATTGGCCAATGGTGATATGGGGATGATGGAAGACTTCCTGAGGTGCAGGTTGATAGAGATCTTCTGTCTTCTTTAAGCTGACTTCCAGTCCAAAGAGCTCAGCAGCGTTGCAAAGCAGGATGTTAAACGCTGCAGAGCTGCTTCTGTGTGGGCAACAAGGGCAACGTCATCAGCATAAAGCAGCTCCCAGACAAGATGGTTTAAGGTCTTAGTGTGGACCTTCAGTCGCCTTAGGTTGAACAGGCTTCCATCAGTACGGTATCGGATATAGATACCATCCTGATCATCGAGGTCTGACGTGGTCCTTTGGAGCATCATGCTGAAAAAGACTGTGAATAGAGTTGGTGCAAGAACACAGCCTTGTTTCACACCATTCTTAATTAAAAAGGGCTCAGAAAGTGTGTTGCCATATCTGACTTGGCCGTGCTGATCCTCATGGAGTGAGATGATCATTTTAAGGAACTTGGGGGAACAACCTAAGCGTTCCAAAATCTGCCACAGACCTCTTCTACTCACAGTATCAAAAGCCTTGGTGAGGTCGACAAAGGTTACATAGAGACCTTTGTTCTGTTCCCTACACTTCTCTTGCAGTTGTCTGAGGACAAATACCATGTCTGTGGTACTCCTGTTGGCTCTGAAACCACACTGGCTTTCAGGTAGAATTCCTTCTGCTATAGCAGGTATTAGTCTGTTCAAGAGTATTCTCGCCAAGATTTTGCCAGCAATGGAGAGCAGAGTAATACCATGGTAATTTGAACAGTCTGATTTAATTCCTTTCTTCTTATACAAAGTGATGATGACTGTGTCACAGAGGTCTGATGGTAGTTGGCCTAGTTCCCAACAGTGCGCCACAAACTCGTGAAATTTAGCATGGAGTGCATGGCCCCCATGTTTCCAGACTTCAGGTGGAATTCCATCAACCCCAACTGCCTTGTCGATTTTCATCTGCTGTATGACCTTAAGGGTTTCTCCGAAAGTGGGGGCAATATCCAATTCATACTTCACCGGTTGTTGTGTGATGGACTGAATTGCTGAGTCTTGGACTACACGGCTAGTACTGAAAAGGGTCTGAAAGTGTTCAGACCGTCAATTCAGAATGGAGGTTTTGTCTTTTAGAAGCATTTGACCATTGGCGCTGAGTAGAGAGCTTTGTACCTGGTATGTAGGCCCGTATGCTGTTTTCAAGGCCTCGTAGAATCCTCTTTGATCACCTGTGTTGCAATCTGCCTAAATATTGCAGAAAGAATTTTTATATTCGAATGTTCCCTTAAGCAAAATTAAAACTCATACAAGTTTTCTGTTAATACCAAAACTGTTTTTATTTATTGCTAAGAGATGCAAAGAGAAAGAGGAAAAAATAAGAAAAGGTTAGAAAATGCTAAGATTACTTTTAAAAAGCAGAGAGAAAAGGTTACCACCAAACAAACTACCTTCTTGTCCAACCTGATTTGTGGAGTGGGGGGGGGAGAGGGAGAGAAAGAAGCAGTTTTGCCCCTTTTTTTTCTGTAGTCTCTGCCACTTTCGATGTTATCTCTTTAGCTGCAGGGAGTCTGGAATGCAGCCAGGATGTGGGCTTCTCCGCAGCTCACGCCGTCACTCACACCGGCCCTGTCTCAGGCTTGTGCAGAGGCCTCGGTCCTGCTGTACCTCTCAGAAATAGGGTCAGGGTGGAAAAACTCATGCAGGAAGCACGGTGGGTCCCAGTCCACTGCAAGACGACAGGCGTCCAGCTTCAGACAGGCAGCTTCCAGGTGATAGAAGGAAAGGTGAGGGTGAGGCGGAGGGTGAGTTAGCAGTTATAGCCAACTCTCTCTTCCATTCCTCGTTCCCTGATTTTCCCAAATTTCTCTTCAGCTTTTTATAGTGTTCAAGGAGGTAGTCTGTGGTGTTTTGGCACGTAGCCCTGTTCAGATGTTCACAGAGATATGATAACTGTGAACAATACCAGGATCTTTTAGCAGGAAAACTCCCGTGAGAAGACTCTGGTGAGAACTTCTGGTGGAAAACTGACACAGAAGTTTTGGTAGGAAGTTTTTGACAGGCAGAAACAATGGCGAAACATAATTTTTGGCATTTGTATGTTATCTGTCTGTTACAACCTGTATCTGCGCATAATTGATTTTTTTCAGCTAGATTGATCCACCATTTGTTCTGGATGTCACGGAGTTTCTGGTGGAGCCTGCTGCGCGCAAGACGAAAGGCTGCTTTTCTTACGTGACGAGACGGCAGTGCAAGGTGTGCTTGTTGAGCAGTTCTCTTCTACCTCAGCAATTCCTGGATCTCTTGATTGTTTTCATCAAACCAGTTCTTGTTCTTCTCGAAGGAGAACCCTAAGGATTCTTCAGAGGACTGCAGGATACTGTTTTTAATATGGTACCAAAGTGTTTCAGGAGAGGCATCTGTAGAATCTATGGAATGGTTTTCAAGCCTAGTTTGAAGATTTGCCTGGAATCTGTCTCTCACTGTGACTGATTGGAGATTGTTAATGTGGAGTCTCCTCCTTGGGATACTGCCCCTTTTAGGTTTGAATTTAAGATTGAAGTTAAGGTTACAGTGCACAAGTTGATGGTCTGTTTGGCATTCTGCACTAGGCGTCATGTGGGTGTGATGGGACATCGCAGACATCTCTCCCTCACACCAAGATGTCATCAATGAGGTGCCAATGCTTAGATCTAGGATGCATCCAGGTTGTCTTCAGACTATTTTTCTGCAGAAAGATAGTATTAGTGATGGTGAGCTGTTGCTCCACACAGAATTCTAACAGAAGTCGACCATTACCACTGCAGTTTCCAACACCATGCTTGCCTTATACTCCTTTGAGGCTTCAAAGTTCTTTCCTACTCTGACATTGAAATCATCAAGGACAATGATCTTATCATCTGTGGGAACCTTTTGGGTAAGGCGGCACAGGTTGGTGTAAAATTTATCTTTTTCAGCAGGGTCAACTTGGAGAGTTGGGGCATATATACTAAAGAAGACGTGTTGCTTGTTGTTTAGTGTAAGGCATAGGGAGATAATGCGGTCAGAGTGACCTGTTGGCAGATTTTCGAGTTTAGGAACAATAGAGCTTTTTAGTCATGAAACCAACTCCTGAGAGATGCCTTTCGGTTCTGGGTTTACCTGACCAAAAGAGTGTGTAACCAGCACCATGTTCTCTGAGGCTGCCTTCCTCATGGAGATGAACTTCACTGAGAGCAGCAATGTCGATGTTGAGACGAGCCAGCTCATGGGCA